AGGGTGTGGAGAAAAGGGAACCCTCTTGCACTGTTGGTGGGGATGTAAATTGATACAGCCACTGTGGAGAACAGTATGGAGGTTCTTTAAAAAACTAAAAATAGAACTACCATAGGAGCCAATAATCCCACTACTGGGCATATACCCTGAGAAAATCAGAATTCAAAGAGTCATGTACTACAATATTTACTGCAGCTCTATTTACAATAGCCAGGACATGGAAGCAACCTAAGTGTCCATCAACAGATGAATGGATAAAGAAGATGTGGCACATATATACAATGGAATATTACTCAGCCATAAAAAGTAAAGAAATTGAGTTATTTGTAGTGAGTTGGATGGACCTAGAGTCATACAGAGTGAAGTAAGTCAGAATGAGAAAAAGAAATACCATATGCTAAAACATATATATACATGGAATCTAAAAAAAAAAAAAAAAGATGGCTCTGAAGAACCTAGGGGCAGGACAGGAATAAAGATGCAGATGTAAACAATGGACTTGAGGACATGAGGAAGGGGAAGGTTAAGCTGGAACGAAGTGGGAGAGTGGCATGGACTTATATATACTACCAAATGTAAAATAGATAGCTAGTGGGAAGCAGCCGCATAGCACAGGGAGATCAGCTCGGTGCTTTGTGACCACCTAGAGGGGTGGGGTAGGGAAGGTGGGAGGGAGACAGAGGAGGGAGGAGATACGGGGATATATGTATATGTATAGCTATTCACTTTGTTATAAAGCAGAAACTAACACACCACTGTAAAGCAATTATACTCCAATAAAGATGTTAAAAAAAAAAGGAAGCATTATACATAATGGTAAAATAACATTAGGTGATGAATAATAAAGAATTGGTTAGGTAAACCATGATCCATTCATATGATGAAATAAATACTATGCAAGTTTTGAAAAGTATGACCATTTTTTTTCAGTCAAAACTTTTCCCTTTATTTAGGTATAGTTGATTTACAATACTGTGTTAGTTTCAGGTATACAGCAAAGTGATTTGGTTATGTATGATCATTTTTAATGACATGGGAAAATGTTCAATTTTTTAAAACAATAAAGGAACAATTTACAAACAAAGTGTACCTAACATTATACCAAATTTTTTTAAGATGAAAAAATAGATTCCAGTTTTTAGTAATGATTATCTTTGAGTTTGGGGTCTTACAGGTAATTATTATTTTTCATATTAGTGCCCATATGTTTTCTTAAAAGCTATGTACAATCAGCATGTATTACTTTTGTAATTAAAACTCAAACATACATCTATAAATGTTATAAAATGAAGAGATCAAAAATAAGTATGTGCTTTGGGGCTGTTCCTCATCCTTATTTGGTTTCAGTACTCCACCTTTAATACTATAAGGAATTGAATAGGATGACCCCTATGCCCATCCCAAGATCATGGTCAACTTGGACCTTCTATGAATCAACACAATGTTCTTTGCCTTGCCAAATACATTATAGCTGACTAGACTGAGAGAAGCTACTTATTCTATTTTAGACACATCACAGCAGGTGTTCTCCTAGGAGTACAAATGGATGCTGGCTGGGGTTTGGAAATAACAGTGTTGATAACACTTACAAAGCACTTAGTATATGTCAGGCTCAAATTATGTAATTTAATCCCCACAGCAGCCCTAAGAGGGAGGTACCATCATTACTCCCTTTTTACAGATGAGGAACCTGAGACAAAGGCAAACTTGCCCACAGTAACAGAAAGGGTAGAGCCAGGGTCTGAACCCAGGGAGTCTGACAACAAAGTCTGCCCTCGTAACCACACATTTGTATCTCCAGAGAATTCTCATAGAAGGCAGAACGACAAAGTCCACGGAGAGAGTTACCTGCTGGATTCCAGTAAGCTCTTTACTCAACTCTTCCAGTTTGTCAGCTATCTTCTCCACAGACTTCTCCAAATCTTTCAACTTCTTTATTTCAACTTCTTCCTCTGGACTGTTCTAAAATGTTTAAGAATAAAACGAAGTAAAGAATTTTTTTTCTGTCAGGAAAAAATATCTGACCACAAGTGGGTTAAACCACTGACCTAGAAAAAATCATCTTAACTCTCGCTTCTTAGAAGGCAAGCTGGAGGGTTATACATGAAGGTTTTCTATCTACAAAGACTCTAGACTAGATAGAGAGAAGGTATCAGGTACACATTCTGGCAAGAGAGCCCTGACGGCTTGGGTTCAGAGAACAAAGCTAATCCATGTGCCAGATTCAACCTCAGCCTGGGGCTGATTACCAACAGATTCCGGACTGAAGCCTGGAGTGTTAACCAATTACAGTGAATGCCTGTGAGGAGTCCAGAACGGTGAGACAGGCAGAATTCTACCCTTCCTTTAAATGGAATTCCTGAGCTCTCTCATTCAATATGATGATGATGATGAATACTTTTACTGAGCATCCCCTGTATGCCAGGTTTCATCCTAAGCACTTTACCTGTATTACTGTTTAAGCCTTACCACAATCCAGTGAAGGAGGTACTGTTTCAGATGATGAAATTGAGGTTACTGTAAAGTAACTTAAGGTTACACAGCCCAAAATAGGTAGGAGACTTAAATTGGACTTGGCTCCACATACTCCAGGACAGCTCCAACTGAGGGTCCTAAAGCTTCTTCAAACTCAACCCTTGGGTTCTGCTCATTGCCCATCACCATTCTCCCTGACCCTTGAGCAAGAAATCTCTAGATTATTTCCCCTTCTCTCACCTTAATTGGTAGCCAGCAGCTTCCTGCTTTTACACTGCCCCAAATTGTTCACATTCTTCTTTGTGGCCAAATCCTGAGTGCCAGTCTCCTGGCAGTTCCAAGTCTGGAGTAGACTTTCCTTGCCTCCACTTTGCTAATCTCTGCCCCCTCTCCACTTTGAATCAGCCACCTCGCTCGAAGTAAGGGAACTTCACAGGACCAACAATTCCCCTGTGCCACAATGCAGGGCTGGCTATGGCCCTCTCTCATCACCCCAGGGCCTACTTTCCTCACCAATTGGCTTTTTCTCCGTCATCTATTTAGTCTGAACCTTTCTTTCCAGCCAAAGAGGGTTTATCCTTATGTGAGATTTTAGTAAAAAGAATGGTTAAAGGAAGAGAGGCTCCTGAAGTTTGCAGAGTACTTATTTTTTAAATCTACAGGTTTATTCTAACAAAAACGCTCTCTCGCAAATCCCCCTCCAAGTGAGTAGGGACTGCCTCAGGCACTATTTTAACCAGACTGATTCCACCACCAACACAAAAGCCACATTACTGAGGCAGCATAAACACTCCTAATTCCCAGCATGAAAGCCCTAAACAACAGGAGTTGGAGGGTGTGAGAACTGGTGACTCCAGGGAACAAAGAGACTACATTTGTTTAGAGAGCACTACTGCACCAGTGCCAGCCCTGGCTCCCCGACTTGGCCTTCTAAACAGAAACATGCATAAAAGACCTTCGTCATTTGATTCTGAGGTATTCTGGTGGAAAAAGCAATTTACCTTTTTCCCAATTAACATGACCCGGCAACCATTTTGTATTCCAAGTGCTGACAATGGCGTCTCCATTTCCTTCAGAGATTTTCCTGAACAAAGAAGAAAGTGATGTCAGGTTGCAACAATTGCACAACAGTGAAAAGAGATTTCAGCAAGGGTACAGGAAGTAGTGTGTTCACTAATGAGAAGAAGGTGAATTGGTATAAGCTTTTTAGAAGGTTTCTTGACCCAGTAACTTCACTTTAGATATTTACCCTAACACATAACTGGACATGTGCCTGCACAATAACTGTTATACAATAACTATTATTCATAATAGTGAGAAACTGGAAAGAGCCCAAAATTCAGGAATAGGGGACTGATTAACTATACATCAGTACAACAGAAGACTTTGTAGGGCATCAAAGCTCATTTTTTCAGGAAACTTCAATGCCATAATACATGTTGATGACCCAGTGTTATAAGAAAATCACTAGAAGTGATCCTAGTTTTGTCAACTAAAAAAAAAAGCCACAAATGAGAACCCACACTTTGGGATGCCAGGACAAACAAACAAAAAGAGGCTGGACGGAAATATATTGAATTGTTATGAGGGGTTTTATCCAGGAGAACATTTTCTTTTTTGTGCTTTCCTCTATTTTGAAACATGGATTTCTATTGCCTTTATAATTCTAAAATGAAACATTTTTAAAAAGAAAAGACAAGGAGCTGTACTATGAAGTACGAATATAAATGCTTCCCATCACTAAATTTTTTACGACTGGCACCAAATGGGGTAAAATTAGCCTCATCAGATACCAGAATAGTGGGTTCCCAGGGGAATGGGAAGACCAGAGAATGGGGATGGGAGTGGGTGTGTCCTGGCAGAAATCAGCATCATCCACTGGGCCTGCCACATTCAGGCCCTGGTAAGTTTGTTCAATACCTTCTCTGTGCCAGCACTATGCCGAGCATTGAACACATAGCAGTATCTCTGCCCTCGTGGAGTTTGTTATTGTATTAGAGAAATCAGATGTTTGGTGACTATGAAGACAATTATTTAATAGGAATTTCAGTACAAGTTATGCAAAAGTGGTAGGGAGTGCCATCTGAACACACAATGGGAAGAGGATCTAACTTGGCCAGGGAAGACTGCCCATGTGCTTCATCAAAAATGGTAATATTTCTGTCACCTTCATGTGACTTCAACTCTAATACCTGTTCAAATGTTTGCAAGTGTCCAGTGCATAGTAGGTCCTCAATACATATTTGTTGAAGTGATGAATGAATTAACAAGCAAATAAGAATTGTCCTAGTTTCGAAACCGAGAGTTTCTATTATTAAAGTTAAGCAGTTTTAAATAGGCCTTTTAGCAATGAGGGCTCAAAGCTGGAAGAGAAGGGCTCAAAGCTGGAAGAGAAATACCTACCCTTAAATATGAGTTTCTGAAAAGGCAGCGGGACCCCTGTGGCCTCTTCAACAACCTGGGCCAGGTCCTGGACAATTGGTTCACTACAGCCTTCTTGTGGGATAACTTGAAGATCGTGCTTCTCATTGCCTGGGGAGAGAGAAAAGTGTTGAAGAAAACTCTTTCACACAAACCAATATAGGCTGACACTTTATTTACCCAGCCTTCAAGGCCTGATCAAGGATTTTTGTTTCCTTTATTATAGTAACTAACAATATCAGTGATATCAGCTAACATTTTAAGCACTTAACATGCATAAGGGGCTGACTAGGCTCATTTCATGCATGATCTTATTTAATTTGCAGAACAACCCCATGAAGTAGGTACTACCTATTATTCCCCATTTCACAGATAAGCAAACTATGAGTTCAGTCCAATTAAGACCTGCCTAATGAGACCCAACTCTAGAATTAGAACTTGACCTCAGATCTATCTGATTTCAAAGTCCGTGCTTTTCTTCACAAGCCATCTGCATCCTGTGGCCTGACTGTCCTCTACTCTGTGTTGTACTGGGCAAGGAACTATTTTTGTCTCCTTTGCTGTAATGGGCAAGGAAATGTTTTTCCTCCAGGTCTCTCCCACTGGGGACACCTCGGCACATACATGGTTGGTGCCCAGTAAATAGACAAATGAATGAATAAACTCAAACAGCAGAAATTCCTTTTTGGAGCAGAGGTGCTAATTCTTTTCTGGGTATGTGGACAATAAGGAGGTAGCCTGTGCCGGTGCATCATGCCAAGCCTTAAGCCTACTCAACAGCCACATGTAGTGAGTGGGACAGGTGTTACCAATTCTGCTTGTATGTGAAGTAGAAACCAGCTGCCTAGAAAGGAGACATCCCAAGGTCACTTAAACCTGAATTATCTAGAATCCTGGTCACCAGATTCCGAGGCCCTGGGGTCTCCCCTAATTGGTCCTGAGGAAACCTCATGGACTCAGCTCTCTGGAGAACTCGACACAGAACTTTGTCTAGTTCTGTGTCAACTCCAAAAGTAGGCAGACCCAAAGGGTGCCCAGAGTGTACGCTTGAACCCACGGCTCACTCAAAAAGCAGACAAGAGTTCAGACTCTCGCACACACGTAGGTGTCCAGACACACAGCAGTCATACACAACATGGCTAAAAAGAGCCAGGCACAAAGACCCACAATAACTACGCAGGCACACACTAACACATAAAACCAGGACCACGATGTGAAGCACGGACATCGAGGATCTAACAAATGGCCTGAGACAAAACACACCAGCCACATGGAAAGGTGTGCTGAACAAAAGATCCGTACAAAAGCCGGCCCCACGGACACAAACCAGATCCCACGCTTCCGGACGCCAGAAGAACACAAGGACACACGCTTCGGGAGGGCACGTGGCCAAACCCACAGACCCCGCCGGACTTTCGCAGCCCGCGCTCACTGTGGGTGACGGTTACGCTGAGCCCGGCTGCCGCCATTTCCTCGCTCCGGGCCACCTCTTCACTTAGGGCCACCTCTTCGCTTCCGACCGCCTCTTCGCTCCGGGACCCCTCTTCGCTCCGGGTCACCTCTTCGCTCCGGGTCACCTCTTCGCTCCGGGCCGAGCGAGGCCGTGCTTTCTTCTTCACCCGCGTCCTGCGAGCGCAGGCGGCGGCGCCCCTGGTGGATCCGGCATGCCCTCTGGTCACACTCCGGACGGCTGATCGCTGGGAGGGAGGCGGACCGCGCTCGGCTGGGGGCACCGACTGGCGCGGCTCCCGGCCCAGCCGAGGTGCGCCCCGCCGGGGGCCCAGCCGCTCCCGATCGCCTCGCGATCTCCGAGCGCTGCCGCGCTCCGCCAGACCCGCGCTAGTTGCCCACCCAGCGGTGGAGGCTGAGCGCGGCGCCCCGCGACCCCGCCCGGCTACTTCCACGCTCCGCCCGGACCTGCCGGCCCCGCCCCTCGGAGCAGCCCCGCTCCCGCCAGACTCTATTCCGCTACCGCCGCCCCCGGGCCCCACCCACTCATCCGAGGCCCCGCCCGGCTGATGAGGCCACGCCCACGCCCGCCACCGAGACCGCGCCCCCTGCTGACTCGGTCTCTCACCTCCAACCTCCCGGAAGACCGAGCTGAAAATCCGGAAAAAGGATCGGTAAACGCCAATAGGCACATTGCGCTTGCGCATGGAGGGCCGGAAGTCAAGTCGGAGGCGGAGGTGATTGTGCTTCCGTTTCTGGTTTTGCTCCAGTGTTTGGGTTGTCTTCGCGGCCGCTCAAGATGAACCGATTCTTCGGGAAAGCGAAACCCAAGGCTCCGCCTCCCAGCTTGACTGACTGCATTGGCACGGTGGGCACTTAGACACGCATAACTAGGCTCAGGGACCTTGACACCCCCCAACCCCACCCACCCCCGGCTTCGGCGCCTACTCCTGGGTCCCGGACCTATTGCATCTCAGCTCACTCCACCCCACTTTCTTTCCTGTTACCCAAGTCATTGCTGACTCCACAAACCAGGGACCCCTAACCCATCACTGTCTCGCCGTTCTTGCGCCCCACCCCTTCTGGTGCCAGTGCCGCGTCCACTCGCTGTTTCCATACCTCCTCACCCCTACCAGCCATAGGCCCACACAGCCTTCCCACCTCGTCCAGCCTGACCCCGAACTCCTCTTCCATCCCTCATCCCTCTCTCACGTCAGGACCCTCGGCTTGATATCCTAGTTCAACATATCTGTACCCCAATCCTGGATCTCAGTAACACAAAATTCAGAACTCTGACCCCTGACATTAAGCCACCACCTTCTATCCAAGCGAATAGCACTAGATCTAAGCCCTAGCCAGGGTCCACTGGGCACTAACCCATTTCACACACCTCCTGCTTGAGCCCTCAGCCTGACAAGCCTCTGATTCTAGGGAAATCTCAACTAAGCCCAGTGATTCTCAAACTCTTTTTCTGCTCAAGCACACTTGAGAGCGACCCTGGAATATTAGAATTTAGGGGGTGGAGTATAGTTTATAAAAGCTCTCCAGTGTTTCTGGCTGAGAATCTCCCCACCACCAACAGTTAGGAATCACTGTTTTCAACCTTTCACCATATGCTCTTCTTTTTTTTTTATTAATTAATTTTATTTATTTATTTTTGGCTGCATTGGGTCTTCATTGCTGCACGTGGGCTTTCTCTAGTTGCCGTGAGCGGGGACTGCTCTTCATTGTCATGTGCAGGCTTCTCATTTCGGTGGCTTCTCTTGTTGCAGAGCACTGGCTCTAGGTGCACGGGCTTCAGTAGTTGTGGCATGCGGGCTCAGTAGTTGTGGCGCATGGGCTCCAGAGCGCAGGCTCAGTAGTTGTGGTGCATGGGCTTAGTTGCTCCGCGGCATGTGGGATCTTCCCAGACCAGGGGTCGAACCTGTGATCCCTGCATTGGCAGGCAGAATCTTAACCACTGCGCCACCAGGGAAGTCCCTCTTCTTTATTTACCCTTTCTTCCTCTATATTCATTCCTCTCCTGCCACTTTTCATGTGAATGTATTGCAATAACAACTACTGCCTTTGATGTTTTTCCCCTCAAGGTGGACAGCAGGGCAGAATCTATTGACAAGAAGATTTCTCGGCTGGATGCTGAACTAGTGAAGTATAAGGATCAGATCAAGAAGATGAGAGAGGGTCCTGCAAAGGTAAGGTAGGCAGCACCTGAATAAAGTACTGTGACAGCCTAACTTGAGCACCTGTGGAAGTAGGGCCTGGTGGTAAGGGCTGGTGAGAGATACAGAAGAGATGCTCACAGTCTAATAAGAAAACATACGTGAGGGTGTATCCTTCAGGGAGGAGAGTTTGCAGCCACATATGAGAATAAGGCTGGGATTTGACCTGGTGGCAAGAAGATGCTGGTCACATGTCCAGAAGCATGTACATGGGAATTAGCATATTCTACTGAGAAGGTGCTATATTCTACCTGGAGAGCTGGGCCTGCTCAGGAATAATGAGTTGCCAGGCTAGTCAGGTTAGATAAGTATAATAGACTGGTTAAGGAGTGGCATGTTGGGGAAGAAGTACCAGTGTTCTATTAATAATATCATCACTACCTACTAGCTGTGACCTTTATAAAGTCAGTTAATTTTTTATTTTCCTCTTCTGTTAGGTAGAAACATAGAGTTGTATATTTAAGTGCATGGACTGTGAATGTAGAACTGTCTTCTTTTTTCCCATCTCCGTAACTTATTAGACATTCAAGCTAGAGCAAGTTACTTAGCATCACTGAACCTCAGTTTGCCCATCTATGAAATGGGGATGATATCTACTTTAAAGTGTGAGATTAAATGAGGTAATTCATGTGACCTACATAGCACTGTGTCTAGTACATAGACACATTCAGTAAATGTTAGTTATTATTATCATCTGTGAAGTAGTAATACCTGCTTTTCCTTCTTCATTGGAGGAGACAAATAAAATGATTTATGAAACAGTATAGAAATGGAAGTGACAGGAGGATTTTCTCTGCCATCTTAGTTAGATGGCATGGCATGAAGAGTGACCAGAGGCAGGAAAGCCCACCTAGACTTGAGGAGATGAAAGCCTAAACCATGGTGGTAGTCATGAGAATGACATGAGAGGAATCAATTTAAAAGTGAGTTCTGGGGCTTCTCTCAACCACTGGGGCAGTGGTTGAGAGTCCGCCTGCAGATGCAGGGGACACGGGTTCGTGCCCCGGTCCGGGAAGATCCCACATGCCGTGGAGCGGCTGGGCCCGTGAGCCATGGCCGCTGAGCCTGCACGCCCGGAGCCTGTGCTCCGCAACGGGAGAG